AACATGAACTAATGAACCAGACTGCTGGTCAATTTCGTCTTAAATTGATTTCCTGACATCAATTTAAGATTTCAAGCTTAAATTGATTAGTTACCCTTTCCTTTTTTTCTCTGGCACACAGATTATGATCTAAACCTTTGAAGATAATTACAACGTTCAATTGCAACACTTAACACAGCAGATGTTTGTACATTGTCAGTATTGTTTTTCTAGCTATTTAAGTGAAACAAGAACTCAGAGGTTGCTGACATTTAAGACAGTTGAGCTTTCATGTTTCAAGCCAGAGGCAACAATTATTTGGCTTTTCCTGGTTAAGTTTGCTTCAGTGGAGCTTTAAGTGTGATGATAAACTCGGCCCCTTTAAAAAGTTTGGTCATAGCCATCGAGCATTGATGTGCGAGCCAGAAACTCATGAAGCTGTGCTGTTGTCTGTCCGAACCACAGCTCCCTCATATGCTTTGACATTTTTCTGCAATAGTGCCCAGCTTTGGTAATAGAGCGAACAAAATCGGGTCCCTGCTGAAAAACAAACACATGTTTTAACTCAGACAGGATTGATGATCAGTCATATAAAGGGGCAGAACAGAAGGAAGAGCTCCGAGGGATGTCCTGCAAACCAGCAATTTATAAAACCACTGATAAATCACGTGCAACCTTCATAAATCACTTTGTCATGTCGTGCCATGAAGGCTAAACTCTGTCATCCAAGTGGTCTTTGCAGGGAAATTAAAGTTTCTGCCAACTTTCTTTGTCCAATTAGGACTCACCATTAATAAATCGCTCTCCCTTTTTGATGGGGGTAAAAAAAAACGGTAACACTTTATTTGAAGGGGGGTGAATAAGACTGACATGACACTGTCATAAACATGTCATAACACCTGTCATGAACATGAATAAGCCTTCATGAATATTTATGACTGTTGTCATAAAGCGTCATTCGGTAAATTATGACACTTTTAATACAAAGTTGACATTATTCAAAATGTCTTTGTTATGACAACTTGACATTAACCAAGAAATCATTACTGTTATAAATTTGTTATAAAAGTATTACTGATTTCACTTTAAAAATTAGATAACTTTGTTATTAAAGGTAAAGTTTAAACAGTAATGATTTATTGGTTAATGTCAAGTTGTCGTAACAAAGACATTTTCAATAATGTCAACTTTGTATTAAAAGTGTAGTAATTTACCGAATGACGCTTTATGACAACAGTCATAATTATTCATGAAGACTTATTCATGTTCTTGACATGTGTTATGTCATGTATATGAAAGTGTCACGACAGTCTTATTCACCCCCCTTCAAATAAAGTGTTACCAAAAAAACTAATGAGCTCACTATTTTTATTCAGAATCCATTGTCCTGTAGCCATTGATGAGTTGCTAACACAATGTTACAGTCAGGAGTTATTCATTTCTAGAGATATCAGTTTTGGAATTTTCTCTTTTCTAGACTCTTAATTCTCTGACAAGTCTAATTCCATAAACGTCGATAAAAAATCTCGGAGGACGATGCCAAACCAAGTATAAAAAGTCTAGTTAAACAAGCAGAAGGCATCTTCAGAGCACAAAAAAGTGGCAGCATACCTGTTGAGTAGAGCAGTGGCTAGTTAGTTTGCAGTGAAGCTGTTCCCAGTTGTCTATATATAACTATATAGT